ATGTGTAATAATGGTTATTTTTAACCCTAGACCAAAGAACGAAACATAAATATTATGTTTCACTTGCGTCAAAATTATAGATTTTTCTTTCATGCCAAAATCGTTAGAATATTATAAAGATCATGTTCAATGAAGATGCTTTATACATTCTCAACTGTAAATATATAACAACTCAAAATTTGATTAGTAAAATCCATTGCTAAGTCCTAATTTGTACAACTTTAAGGCAGTTTTCTCAACATTTATATTTTTAGAACCCACAGAGTCCAGATCAGCCAGTTAGTAGTATCCTATACTAACATACCATACATCAGGGGTCACCAACCTTTATGAAACTGAGAGCTACTTCTTGGGTACCGATTAATGTGGAGGGCTACCAGTTTGATAAACACTTCTTAAATAACAAATTTGCTCAATTTACTTTTAATTATACTTTATGTTTTGGTAATAATTAATGATATTCATCCATGTGCAGACACTGATCATGTTAATGATTCTCACAAAAGTTATCAACAATTATTTAATAGGGTAGGAAATACCCTGTATTTAATGTATCAATGTGCAACACTTTATTTTTATATATATCGGCAAATATTTACATTTTAAATGATTTCTTCTATATTAGATAAAGCTTACTGGTAAGTGGTGCTATGGTGAGCTATTTTTAGAACAGGCCTGTGGGCAACACATGTGATCCTCGCAGGCTACCTGGTGCCCGCGGGCACCATGTTGGTGACCCCTGCCATACATTATTCAATGGAAGACATCTTAAGGTGATGTTCAAATCTCAATGAATTGACAATTACTGTATTACTGATTTTGTGCTCTATGCATAGTCACAAATGGTTAAACATTATATACTTTTACCAATTATTGCATACATTTTTTTTTTGTTTATTTTGACAATATATACTGCATACATATTACATACATGCATTAACCTGAGGTGAATGAACGGTCAATTTTCCATTTTGCAGTAGTTTATTAGTAGGTATAACTTTTATAAATACTTGAGTCTCATGATAATTGCACAAACACAGGTCATGTATATTGTCAAATAATGATTATTTTTAACCCCATACAACATTATAAGAACAAAACATAAATATTATGTTTCACTTGTGTCAAAAATACATTGTGTCGAAATTATAGATTTTTTTCATGCCGAAATCATTAGAATATTATAAAGATCATGTTCCATGAAGATGCTTTATACGTTCAATATGCAATATGTAACAACTCAAAACTTGATTAGTACAATTCATTGCTAAGCCCTAATTTGCATAACTTTAAAGCAATTTTTGAAACATTTAAATTTTTAGAACCCACAGATATCAGCCAATTAGTATCCTATCCTAACATACCATACATCAATGAAAAACGTATTTATTCATATTAAAAATAAATTGACACTTACTGTATAACTGGTTTTGTGGTCCATGCATTGTCACAAATGGTTAAGAATTGTATATCCTTACCAAATAATACATACATTTTTTTATTTACTTTATTTTATGTGTTGTATATGTGTCTGCTGTCTATATTTATTATATAAATAAACACATGCTGGCATATATTTGAGAAAATGCTTATTTTTATATATAAAATAAATATGTATATGATACAAATTATACAATAATTAAAATATCTTTGCATAGTTTTGTTTTTATGTACGTGTGTGCATCACAATACTAAATATATACTAAATACATATACTGAATATCTACTAAATATACATTATGTCAAAACAAAAAATATATATATTATGGATGCGCTAATGCCCTGCACAATTTTTTTATTATTATTATTTTTGTTTTTAAAGATTTAGTTTTGGCCTTTTTTAGACTGGACAGTATTTACACAGAAAGCGAAGTTGGAGAGAGAGAGAGAGAGAGAGAGAGAGAGAGAGAGAGAGAGAGAGAGAGAGAGAGGAAGGGGTGTAGGGAAGGGAAATGTCCTCGAGCAGGGATTTGAACTCGGGACGCCCTGATGTGCTACTGCACCATAAGTCCACGCGCTAACCACTCACAAGGGTTTCCAAAGTTTTATGAGCTTTATATCTTTATTCACATAGAAACTCAAAGCTTTATGATGCTTTACAAAACATTCTACTCCCAAAGCCCTTCCATCCTCCTTCATTTTTAATTTTTTGCATGGCTCTCTGTGCCTTTTTTTCACTCTGCAATCGTTTTTGCTGAGTCAGAGACGCTCCACATCCGTATGCCAGTGCAGGATTTACCTCTCTGTGCCATGAGACAGATTCACCTCACTGTAAAGTGGGATATAAATAGGTTTCGCTGAGGAACATTACAATCAGGTTGGATCCTGGTCTGGGGAACCCGGGGAGCTTTTTAGTCCAATAGAAGCATGGCATGACTCACGCTGAGCTATATTGCCTCTCATTACTCAAGGACCTCAAGACATATTTGTCATATTGGCACAGTTCTGATTTACTCACAGCATTTGTTGCCAATAAGATTTCTCCCGGTGTGAATATGGCTCACAGGGGAGATGCTTCCCATTGGATTATGGCAAGACATTGCAGGTAAATGGGATTAATAATAATAATAAAATATTAACAATAATAATAATAAAAACAATGACATATTTTTATATAGCGCCTTAATAAATGTAATTCTCAAATTACTTTTTTTTCTCCTTTTTTATTAGAGTATGCAAGAGGAACACAAATTGGGATCACACACAAAGAGAATACATATAAACAAAAACAACATGTATAACAGTCAATTCAAGAGTTCACTCTTCGCTGATAATTAATTATAAAGCTTGTTTGGCATGCTGTCCCGGGAGAGAGCCCTAAGCTCATAAGATCCTCTAGCCCGGGGCTCCCTCTCGTTTGCAAGGCGAGAGGGGAGTTTGAGCTCAGGTAGATCCTGTTCCCTGCTATTGTAACTAATGAAAAGATAGTAATTGCTCTTAGATAACTACTTATTAGGAGCATGTCTATGGTGCCAATTTGGATTCATCAATTAACTTAAGTTGCATGTTTTTGGATGGTGAGAGGAAACCAGGGAACCCGGGGGAAACCCACGTGAGCACGGGGAGAACGTGTAAACTCCGCACAGAAACGCCGGCTGGCTTGGTAACGACTAGAGCCAGTGACGTTCTTGCTGTGAGGCAACAGTGCTAACCACTGGGCCACTGTTCCACCCATCTAGGAAAGGAGGAGGAGTAGGGGTGGAAGGGGGGATTCTTCAAATTGAAGATAGCTGGCATATGGAACGTAAGGTATTTATATTGGCTTAGCAATCGTCTGATTGGTGTATCATAAACTGAATAATGTGGGAACAGCTGCAAGCAATCAAAAGCATGTGATCTTCTCGTAATTAATTTATAAATAAACTTCACTAAATGAAGTAAACATCAACAATATAAATAAAACATAGATAGAAAGAGACCAATCAGTGGTAAGGAGTGGCAACCATGTAAGTAATGTAATGGTAGTAGTAATGGCAATAATAATAACAATAATAATTATCATAATAATAATAATAATAATAATAATAATAATAATAATAATAATTATTATTATTATTATTATTACAAGTACTACACCAACTACTACCATAGAAATTACTAATGCTACAGCCATAACAATAGCCCCTTTCACACAGTGATACCGGTAAATATCTGGAAAATTTCCGGAACGACTTTACCGGTATATTCAAAAAAGCGCTGTTCACACAGGCGAGGACGTTATGGAAATTTTCCGGAAATAAGCATTCACACATCCATTCCAAAATACCGGTAAATTCTGTCATCATTCACCACGCAAAGCTTGAAGGTAAACAAACAACGGCTTATCATAAGCATCTCATCGATGATTATTTACACAGTTGGCATTAAGAAGAACATATAAACGTGAGCTGACTAACTTCTAGCAGCTAAATGTGTCTGGAAAAATATTCAAAGGCTTTTATCCTCACAAACCGCGCGGACGTAAATGCGTCTGACTGTTGTGATTGGCTAAAGCAGACGTCTCACGTCAGCACGTTCTAGACGTGCACGCGCTTATTACGGGAATCTTCCTTCTGCGTTCACACAGCGCAGCATTCCGGCAAATTGCCGGTAATGTTACAACTTCTCTTTCCGGAAAATAGCCGGCAATTTTCCGGAAAGGTCTGTATGTGTGAAAGGGGCTAATGACTACTAATACCACAATGTCTACTACTACTGATTCTACTACAACAACGACTACTACTAATGATACTACTACCACAATGTCTACTACTAGTACTAAATAATACAACAACAACTGCTACTACAACATCTACTACTACTGATACTATATTACACCAACAACAACAACTACTTCTACTATTACTACATCAACTACTACTGATACTACTACAACTACTACTATCATCAACCACAACTACTACTACAATCACAACTACTACAGTGACTGTTACTATTACAACAACTACAACAACAACAACAACTGGAATAATGACAATGGTAGAAATACTTATTATAAAAAATGAGGAGATAATAATAATATTAATGTTAAAAAAAGTAGAAGTAATAATGTTAATGATAATAGCGAGGAGGTGAGGGGAGGTTGGGAAATCAGGAAAAGGACAAATAATGATATGATAGTAGAAGAAATAGATGATTAAGAAAAAGTTACTTAATATACAAATCAGCCATTATTTAATTTAATATGCACTCATTTGCATGTATTTCCTGCATAAAAGTCTAAACATTGGATGAGTCAGGTTCACACATCTTTTTTTTTATTTGAGAGTTAGTTTGATTAAAGTTAGTAATAAACTTCTTACCTTAATGAACCTCATTATTTATCCTATTAATAACATCATTTAAAGCAATCATTCTTTTTTGTTAATTTCTCTTGTTGAATGTACAGTACTTCTTTTACGTATTTTTTCTTTGTACTTTTAAGCCTTTAGTTATTAATTAACACATGGCTGCTGAAAAACTTTTTTGAAAAAATTTGCTTTTTTTTTTTATGTTCACAGCCAGGAAGTATGAAAGCGGGGAGTATTTAAATATCACAGGCATCTCTCGGGATCAAGCAGGAGACTATGAGTGCGGAGCTGAAAACGACATTGCTTCACCTGATACCAAAACTGTGAGAGTCACAGTCAACTGTGAGTACTGCTTTTGTTTTTTGTTTGTTTACTGTCAACATACACAATGACATTGAGTATTTTTCCCCCTCTCTGACTGGAGATACAAGCTCTGTTTCATAACCTAGTGAGGCTGTCAACTGTCTACTGAAACAGGACTTTGTAAGTGACCGATTTGGAATGCTCTACACAAGCAGGAACCCCATGCATCATATAAATAGCAGTTCTCTGGGAAAACACACAGAAAGCTTGACTCAAGTGATTTAAAGGCAGTGTGGTGTTAGCATGTTGCTTATCTAAAGGCACAATCCTGTAATAAAATGTATATATATTTATTTATTTAATTATACTATTATATTTCATCACAATTATATCAAACATATAATTTAGATTTCACATTTCTTTCAGTTGTTTTCTTGAGTTTGGTTTCAGCTTCTTGCAGTGCATTTGATTATTACTTAAGCTTAATCTCTTCACTGTGTAGTCTAGGATTGCTGTTTTCCCAAAGAATAGTGCTTTAGAATTTAGAATTAAATTCTTTTAAATTAAAATAAACTTCTATTAGACTTACTATGTACTGAAAGAGTTTCTAATATTGTATAATTGTTGTAACTATAATTATATTGACATTGCATTATCATAAATATACACAATATATGAAATATTATTATAATTCTATTTTCACAAAAAAAATTACAAGCAGTATATTTAAAATCAAACTGAATTAAAGTTCATTATCTTGTTTATATATTTTGTATATTTTATATAATATATAATTTATATATATACACTCATCGGTCACTGTAGCAGATAGTCTTGACCATGTCTACATAGCTAATGCAGTTGACTGATTAAAAGCCAAAACTATTAGCCCCACTTTAAATTTTTTTTTTCTTTTTTAAATATTTACCTAATAATTTTTAACAGAGCAAAGAGTTTTTCACAGTATGCCTGATGTTATTTTTTTTCCTTTGGAGAACGTCTTATTTGTTTTATTTCAGCTAGAATAAAATTTGTTTTAAATTTTTAAGGTCAAAATTATTATCCCCTTTAAGCTATACAATCAGGGTATACAATTCTGCAAAAAAAAACAGCACTTGTCCAGCCACCCTTGTGTATTACTTTGCCCACATACAGCGACAAGCAGAGGGCACTACAGTTTGACAAATATTGCTGCTGTTGGACAACATAATGTACTTTTGAGGCCTTTTTAGTCAAGAATGTAGTTGTTTAGATTGCAACTATCCAGTTTATTAATAAGGATAATGCCTATTTTAAATATTTATACCTTTTGAGAGACAGTGCGTCGGCGGGCATAAGCCTGTCTTTGAGCAGAACAAAGACAGTTATCCATCCACAAGATGGTGACAAAGACTGTATAATAAGCCTTAGAGGATTAAAAACAGCGTAATTTCTAACTACAACTGATCAAATCATTATTAAACAGGTAAATGACATTCCAAGTCGATCTCTCTCTCTCTTTTGAATGTTTTAGTCCTGTATTAATACTATATAATTATAGTGTTTTGAGTGTGAGATGGGACTCGCATATCAGTGATGTTGTGTTTACCACTCTTTGTATAACCCTGAGTTACTTTTTCGTTTGCCCAGCTGTTTTGTTACTGTTGTAAAAAGAAAGAAAGAAGAAATGCCTGCATGTGTTTAGCGTTTTTTCTTATCGCAAACACCACAGTAATCTGGTAGTGTTAGGGCTGCTTTGGCTTTTTCGGGGACAATTATTGTGATCTCCCGATTGCAACAGAGAAATACTGGGAAATCATTCAAAATACTATCGCTCTAAAATGACGTTGGTGAAGTAGCAACAGTTTCTGCTGTTCTGACGTCAGCTGCAGATGAATAATAAAAGAAAGTAGTTCCTCATACAAAAGGTTTTTTAGACTATTCGTGTTTGATTTTCTCTTATATGCACGATTATGCCGTCAAACTGTTAATAAAAAAATTAAAAAGACGAATAATTAAGAGAAACTAAAAAATCTATTAAATGTTGCAATCTTGTTTTGCATAATTTTGCATACATTTAAATGTATTATCTTTCTGTTTCTGAAGATGTTCGGTGACTGAAACATTATTTTAATAAATGTATCCGTTTAATAACTATTTTGTTCAAATGCACCAAAATATTTCCTATATTCACAGAGTAATGGATAAAAATAACAATTTTCTAAAGAGAGTATTCATTTATGCTGAGCACTGTATGTATGTATGCATGTATGTATGTACATGTACAGTATATGGTATCATATACAATATTATCACATATATTCCATGTTTCATCTCCTCTTAGCGAATCCTGGAACTGATGTCTTCTCAAAACCATACATGCGTTTCTGCTGTAGTATTTGGCTGCTCACCAGATCCTGAAACAGAGCTTACAGCATTCCTTCTGTATCTCGAAGGCCGGCTGCGGTGGAAATTAGAATAGAATTCATGGTGCTGGAGTTTCTTAATATTTAACGAGAGAATTCCCTTTTTGTCTGGGATGGGATGATTAATTTTCAGTGAGGAATGGGCTCAGTGTTATATGGAGTCTTCTATTATGCAGGTAATGAGTCTCTCAAAGTGTGAAAAGACAGTAATGAGCACTCCAAGCATTAATGAATTATACTGACTTTACCCATCATGCTCAGAGTGAAGATCTGCCTCCCACCAAATACAAGGGGAAGGACACTTGACGCTTTCTCTTCCTCCTCTTTTCTCTTTTAAGTCATTTCGTCTCATCCGCGGTCACAGCCATCATTAATCTCTTTGTCTCCGTATATACCATATGCTGAATCACGGCAGAGCGCGAGCACATAAATCAGATCGACCGACAGTCACACCGGAATAAATGTGGCGTTCAGACCATCAAACGCCAGCTCCCTTTACTATCATGCAAACACAGACTAATGGGCAGATAACCACTTGGAAATGTCAAGATTTGAGAGGGAATGGCTAGATGACAAGGATGAAGTCATAAGTCATATCACATCTCCTCCCCGTCGATTGTATTGACACTCTCTAATGAGGAGTGAAGCTGAGAAGATAGAGGAACGGCTCGGTGCTGAGTCTGCTGGGCCGCAATTCTGCAGCTTAATGACCATTTGCAATGAGCAATTCATTCCTTTTATGGACACTATTTTTATACTGTTCTACATGTGTCTAAGGGTTTGGAAGGCTGGATCAAGAGGAAGTTGCTTTAACATGGCCTGTATGGTCTGTCTGTCTTGTTTTGGATAATTCTTGATAAAGATGACTTGCTTAGATTAGATTTTATTGCACACAACAAAGGAAATGAATGGTCATGGTCAAAAGGAAATGAACGCCACCTATGAAACAATGTAATTGCAATAACTTTCATTTGAATTGTCATGTTGTTTTCAAAAGGTGATTTAGATTAGTACAGTTACACAGAAGTAATACAGAACAGACAGTAACGCAGAAATAATAAGAATGTTTGAGAATACTAAAGATTGAAGCTCTTTCACAACCATACATGACATAAAATGCAGAATCATTGTGTATTTTAATCAGGATTGTGATATATATATATATATATATATATATATATATATATATATATATATATATATATATATATATATATATATATATATTTTTTTTTTTTTATTAAATTTGTTAAATTTTATTAAAAAAAGAAATTTAGTTCATTGATGAACATTTATGTTTCATGCAATCACTTAATATGTGTTTTAACAACAGGAAGACAAAAAAATCTTAGTGTGGATGTGTTACAATATATATATATATATATATATATTGCCTGACAAAAGTCTTGTCATGGATCCCAGTTGTAAGAGCAACAAATAATAACTTGAAATCTAGTTGATCATTTGGAAAAGTGGCAGAAGATAGATTTTTCAGATGAATCATCTATTGAACTGCATCCCAATCATCACAAATACTGCTGAAGACCTATTGGAACTCACATGGACCACATTCTCACAAAATCAGTCAAGTTTGGTGAAGGAAAAATCATGGTTTGGGGTTAAATTCAGTATGGGGGCGTGCGAGAGATCTGCAGAGTGGATGGCAACATTAACAGCCTGAGGTATCAAGACATTTGTGCTACCCATTACATTACAAACCACAGGATTGCTCCTGGATAGGTGAGCCCAGTCACCAGACATGAACATTATTGAGCATGGATAAGATGGTGGAGGAGGCGATAAATCCAAAGAATCTTGATGAACTCAGGGAGTCCTACAAGAACACTTTCTTTTTCATTCCAGATGAATTAAAAAGTTATTTGAGTCATTGCAGAGATGTATGGATAAAGTCCTCCAAGCTCATGTGAGTCATACACAATATTAATTGTTTTTACACTGCAGCATGTCTTTATATTCTATACCGTACATTATTTCTGTCTTTTTCTAAGCAAAGTCAGACCATGCTGTTCTAATTAATTAATTAATTAATAATAAAATTATCATATTTAATTTTGGTAAAATAAGCATAATCTAGAGGCATTTGCCTTTATATGAGCCACTTTTGATACCAAATGGTCAACTAGAATTATTATTAGAGTTATTATTTGTTGTTCCTAAAACTTGAATAAGCGATAAGACTTTTTTCAGGTAGTGTAGGTCTATTTCAGTCAGATGGCTTTGCCGCCAGTCAAATCGTTTTACTTTAGAACAGATCAACACATTTATTAAGCCATATATTGCATATAAGTTATAGCCAAAATGGATTTGTATTTTTAAAAACTACAAAGACATATTGCTGTTTTGGTGCCAGTGTTGTTGTCAGTTGTTCATTTCTTTCATCTATTATAGTTATCGCTGCTTTGAGCTCTAATAAACTGTTTGAGCAACCCATCATAATTTGTATAGAGCGAGAATACAGGGGAAAATAACATATTTGCACAGCTCACATTAATTAAAATACACAGAAATTAGTGTCTATGATGTGTTTAGCATTGGGTTCCACTGTTTCAACCCTGACGCAAACAATTCTTACTTCTAGGCAAGATTGTTTTGGTGCTACTTAAGAACCTCTTT